AGGCTGAGGCAGAAGAATTGCTTGAACCCAGGAGTTTGAGGTTGCTGTGAGCTAGGCTGACACCACGGCACTCTAGCCCGGACAACATAGTGAGAGTCTGTCTCAAAAAAAAAAAAAAAAGGAAATAAAAAATCTTCTGCATGAACATTTTTGGCAGGTGAAAAATGGAGAAATATTTGTAACTAACAGCACACACATTTGTGTTAAAGAAAGAAAATCAAGAATCTACACATGCATTTGCTTATGTATGCATAAAGAAACTCTGTAAGGATCCATAGAAAATTAAGAAGAGTAGTTATCTACGGCAGAAGTAGAGAACAGGGTAGATGGGGGAGGAGAATGGGAGGGAAACTTTTCACCGTACAACTTTTTACACATTTTGGCTTTTGAACAGGTGAATATATTGCTTATGTGGAAAGCTGAATTTTTAAAAAGTACCAACTCTCCTATAGCTTCCTTTCTGGTGCAGAGAGACAAATAAAAACACAAATCAATATACATTTGGAATCCTAGTGAAACAATTAAATCTATGAACACGAGGAACTTATTTAATATACTTCATTAATCTTCACAGTGTCTCAAAAAAAGCAAAGTACACAGAAATAGCTCAATAAATACTTTTTGAATAACTATAACATCACTTCTTTTAAGTCCTATTTGTGTGATTATGTTATTGTTCTACTAATTTTTCAATGTAAGGAGACAGATCATCAATTGAAAATATGACAAACTGTACCTGTTGCCACTAGTGTTGGGAACATATATCTTCAGCTCTTCTGTGACCTCTTTCATCACCCTCTGGTAACCAGACATTCCTCGGTCTTTGATATAACCAGGATTGTTTCTCATTAAATACTCCCCCAAATGATTAATTGGATCAAACTTGGTTGGAATATCAGCTTCTGTCAAAAGCTTCTTCTTTTCCACTTGCGTTAACATGTTTTCCACTCCAGGAACTAAGGTGGGTAGAAGTTTGTCAAGCAAATATGCATGAGTATTCAGTGTCATGTTTTCTGTATTAAACCACTCTTTGGCCAAATTATCCTCAGGAATTTTTTTTTCAGCCTTTTTTTCTAGTTCCTTCTTTAGGTTATCCTTATCTATTATTTTCTGCTGCATTGCTTGGGCTCTTGCGTCCACTCTTTCAAAAAGATTTTTCTTCCATGGTTGTTCTAGCTTTGATTTCAGTTCAGATTTATCTAAAGCAAAAACGACTTTTGCAGGTTTTCTAACTACAACATTCCGTGAGAGTTTAGAATCCTTTATCAAACCAGGTGAGATTTTTGGCTGCCCCTCCAGGTTTATTTCTGAGAGGGAAAAAAAAAAAGTGAAATGTAAGAAATATTAGAAGTAGATTTTAATCTATGTGACTTCAGAATAATATTAGGAAAAAGGTTTTTTTAATATCCATTTACACAGTGTACTGTAACACTAGCAGCTGAAAGTAACAGGAAATCAGACAACAGTGACTTTAACAATAAAATCATTTATTTTTGACTCAATCAGAAGTGATTCAGCAGTTCAGTGATTTCATTAAGTACCTACACTGTTTCTATTGCTTTTCGTTCATTTTTTTGTGCTTGTACCTCAGATCACACAATGGCTGTTGTGTGACAGTTCCAGCCATCACTTCCTCACAGGAAAAAAGGATTGAGAACAAAGGAGCTTTCTCCTCTTGAAGCTCTGTTTTACTATTAAAGAGGAAAAGATCGCAGACTCCCTGCTGTAAGACTTCCCTTTACATTTCATTGGTCCTAACTAGGATACGTGCCCACACCCAAGACCAATCACTGGTAAAGGTAAATGGGATTACTATGAATAGTTTGATTGCTTTTGACATAGAGTCTCACTTTGTTGCCCAGGCTACAGTGCACTGGTGTGATCATAGCTCACTGCAACCTCAAACTCCTGGGCTCAAGTTATTGCTCCTCCTGCCTCAGCCTTCCAAGTAGCTGGGATTACAGGCACCCGCCACCATGCCTGACTAATTTTTTTCTATTTTTTTGTAGATGGGGTCTCACTGTATTGCTCAGGCTGTATGCATAGTTTTAGCCAATCATAATTTCTTTCTTTCTTTTTTTTTTTTTTTAGAGACAGGGTTTCACTATATCGCCCAGGCTGGTCTCAAACTCCTGGCCTCAAAATATCCTCCCACCTCAGCTTCCCAAGTAGCTGAGACTACAAATGTGAACCACCTTGCTCATCTATAATTTATTTCTTAATGTCAGGGTTTGAACCAAATTTCTCTGATGTCATGCGATTTTCATCTGCTACAAAATTGAGGTTCAGTTGGCAGGCAAAAAGGTGGGAAAATATGTGCTGTCTACCATACATGTACATTTAAATACATTTCTTCCCATTCTTGTATTTCCAGTCTTGTTCGTATTTTCATTTACAAATGCAGGACAGAGATATTAGACCAAGATGGTGGCCTGAGAACAGGCATCTATATTCCCTACCTACCAAAATATCTAGAAATGACAGGAAGTGTTGTGTGTGTGTGTTTAAAATGTAGCATAAGAATGCTGCAATCATGAAGGAGGCCTTCAGTAGTTAGAAATTTGGAAGATCTCTGAAAAAATGTAAGGCAATTGAGATTCACTGATTGATGAAACGATGGGACTAAAAAGATACAGGAGGAGACCACTGTGACATTTGGGAGCAGCTTTGAGGCATCCCAAGTTTAGAGGCTGTAGATATGGGTAGCAGGGGAAAGAGTGACCATTTTGTGTATCTTCATCCTCATTTATGCAAATCATCAGGCACCAGAGGTGGTCACCCTTACACTGGCATAAGGAGTACAGATGTTTAGGCTAGAGAGGCAGGATTTTCACACACACAGAAAATGAATTATTGACAGACTTCACTGTCTGCACATCTTGTTCCTCCTCCACAATCACTGGCAGCAGACTACAGAAAATAGAAACTCTACCCACAGGAAAGCAAACAGGGAATCTCAAATACAAATGTAAGTACCCATATATAAGATGCATGGAATATTTAAAGAAAACCATCCCTATGACTAAATTCAACAAACATAATAACTAATACCACCCAAGGAAATATCATTAAACAGAACAAATGTAAGGAGTTTCTAAAAGAATTATAATTGATATCCTCGGAGCAGAGAAATTAGAAGAAATAAAAAGAACATTATGAATGTTATTTAAAAAGAACAATTAAGAGAACTTGGACATCTAGTGCTTACATCTTAGTTTCTAATATCATTCTCCAGTTTTAAAAAAAATGAGGATTCCTCCAAGATATGGCTGATTATAGGACTGGGGTGAGAAATATACAAGATGAGACCAGGCACGGTGGCTCATGCCTGTAATCCTAGCACTCTGGGAGGCCAATTTGGGAGGATTGCTTGAGGTCAGGAGTTCAAGACCAGCCCAAGCAAGGGCAAGAACATGTCTTTACACAAAATAGAAAAATTAGCTAGACATGGTGGTGTGTACCTGTAGTCCCAGCTATTGGGGAGGCTGAGGCAGAAGGATTGTTGAGCCCAGGAGTTCGAGGTTGTAGTGACAAAGGTCACACCACTGCACTCTAGCCTGGGTGACAGAGTGAGACCCTGTCTCAAAAAAATAAATAAATAAAAAATAAAAACAAGATGAGCCTGGAGCATCTTGTAGTGCCAGAAAGTAAGGAAATGCTAAAAAAAGAAAAAGAAAAAAAAAAAACCATAGCAAATAAGTAAATGGGGGAGAATAGACTAATCTGTGCGGAAGTATTCCAAATAATTTTTGTAGATACTCTGCACTCAAGGATGCAGAGCATAACTCCCCACTCCTTAAGTGTGGGCTGCACATAGTGACTTCCTCCCAAAGAGTACAGTGTGGAGATGGGAGTGAGGGGATAATAACTTTACAGTTGAGAAATATCACAAATACTATCCCAGGCTGATGATCAAGATTAACATCAACAGTTGTAAGTCATGTTGATAGCATATATCCTTGATATCATTTGATGATAGTGGTATTTTACCTCTGTAGTCTTCCTCCCAGAAAACTATAAACCCAGTGTAATCATGATAAAAAGAGCATGAGACAAATCCCAACTAAGGGACATACAAAAATACCTGACAGTACTCCTTAATACTGTCAAGATCATTGAAAGCAAGAAAAACTGAGAAACTGTCAGAGCAAAGAAAAGTCTAAACAGACATGAAATTAAATATAATATAGTATCCCAGATGGGATTCTAGAACAGTAAGAGAACATTAGGTAGAAACTAAGAAAATCTGAATAAAGTATGGACTTTCATTAATAATAATTATTAATATTGGCTCATTAATTGTGACAAATGTGACATATTAATGTAAGATATTAGTAAGAGGTAAAACTGGTTGTGGGCCAGACAGGAATTCTTTGTACTGTCTTCACAATTTTTTCATAAATCTAAAAGTATTTTAAAATTAAAAGTTTATTTAAACACAAAAGAACTCAGCAAACCGATAAAGAGAGAGAGAAAACACTTGGAGATGAAACAGAATTATTGTTGGAAAAAAAACCATCAATACATTGACTTGAACATCAGAAAAAACTCGACAACCAACCATCAAGTTGGAGGATTAAGCCAAGTTGGATCAAAAAAAGCACATACTATGCTGATGTATGGTAATAGGGAAATAAACCCCCTCCACCAAAAAAGGAAAAAATAAGAAAAGAAAAAAAAGCACAGAAAATGATAAGAGAGTAGAGAATAGGTCCAGAACATTTTTTTTTTGTTTTTGAGACAGAGTCTTGCTCTGTTGCCTGGGCCACAGTGCCGTGGTGTCAGCCTTGCTCACAGCAACCTCAAACTCCTGGGTTCATGCGATCCTTGTGCCTCAGCCTCCCGAGTAGCTGGGACTACAGCCGTGTGCCACCACACCTGGCTAATTTTTTCTATTTTTAGTTGTCTGGCTAATATCTTTTTATTTTTAGTAGAGACGGGGTCTCGCTCTTACTCAGGCTAGTCTCGAGCTTCTGACCTCAAGGGATCCTCCCGCCTTGGCCTCCCAGAGTGCTAGGATTTCAGGCATGAGCCACCATGCTAGGCCCAGAACTTTTAATACTGATCTTATAAAAGTGTCAGAAGAAGTGAAGCAAGAGTGGAAATATAAGGAAATATTCAAAGAAATAATGCAAGACTATCTCTTAAAACTGAAGAAAGACACGAATCTTCAGCTTTAAAAGGCTTACCAAATGGAGTTTCCATTTGCAGTGATGAAAATTTTCTGCAACTGGACAATGGTGATGGTTGCATAACATAGTGAATTTACTTAATGGCACTGAACTGTATACTTTAACACAGTTTAAATGGTAAATTTTATGTTTTTTTAAAGGCCTACCAAATAAATGAGGCACGATACAAGATTAAAATACAAAAATAAATTGATTTCTCAGTAACTAACAGTTAATAACAAATTTAAAATGTTCTGGCCTCTCACGCCTGTAGTCCCAGCTACTCGGGAGGCTGAGACAGGAGGATCGCTTGAACCAGGAGTTTGAGGTTGCTGCGAGCGAGGCTGATGCCACAGCACTGCACCCTAGCCCGGGAAACAAAGTGAGACTGTCTCAAAAAAAAAAAGTTTTATATTTTTAATAACCAATTAAAAATATAATGTTATAAAGTTTCTTCTCATAATAGAAACAAAACTTTAAAATAGCTGGACATAAACCAAACAAAAATGTGTCAGATCAATATGAAGAAAACTATAAAACTTTACCGAAGTGGTGCTGGCATAAGGGTAGACATACAGATAAATGGAATAGAATTGAGAGTCCAGAAGAAAAACCATATATCTATGAACAATTGATTTTTGACAAAGGTGCCAATTCTATTCCATGGGAAAAATAGTCTCTTCAATAAAATGATGCCATGACAATTGAAACCCACATGCAAAAGAATGAATTTGGATACCTACCTCATACCATGTATAAAAACTAACCAGTCCTAATGGACATATATATAACACTTGACCAAATAACAGCAGAGTACATATTCTTCTCATGTGCATATGGCACATTATCCAGGACAGACCACATATTAGGCCAGTGGATTTTAGAAAGTAGATATCATACAAAGTAACTTCTCTGATCAAAACAGAATGAAGCTAGGAATGAATAAGGAAAAATAAGAAAATTCCCAAATGTACAGACATTAAACAACACATTCTTAAAACAACCAATGGCTCAAAAAAGAAATCATGAGGGATATTAGAAAATACTTACAGACAACCAAAAATGAATACACAACTTACCAAAATTTATAGGGTACAGTGAAAACAGTGCTCAGAGGGAAAATTATAG